CTGGGCTAGCAGGGGGCTGAGGATTGGGATTGAGGGGCATGGGCAGAGCTGGGGAGCAGGGCTGGGCTAGCAGGGGGCTGAGGATTGGGATTGAGGGGCATGGGCAGAGCTGGGGGGCAGGGCTGGGCTAGCAGGAGGCTGTGGGTCGGGATTGAGGGGCACGGGCAGAGCTGGGGGGCAAGGCTAGGATAGGAGGGGGCTTTGGTTCGGGATTGAGATGTTTCTCCCACTATCCCAGCTGTGGGCTCCCTAGGTCTGCTGATGCCCCCTCAATCCCAGCCCCCACCCGCTATCCCAGTCCTACCCCTGTCCCCCAGCTCTGGGATGTACCTTGGTTCCTGGAGGGGGAGGGGAAGTGGAAACTCTCTAAGTAAATTACAAAGCATGGAGGAGGGGAGAGGAGGGGGGTGGGTGCTGGGGGAGGCTGACGGGGTGGGTGCTGCGTCTCTGTGGCTCAGTCCCAGGGGGCACGAGGTTTCATGCTGCCCGGGTCCAGGTGCTGTGGGGCGCAGGCAGGCTCTGCCCCACATGATTCCTAGTAGAACTGACCCCGCAGGGTCCTAGAGCATCGCAGGCCTGGCCCTGCCAGGAGCCAGAAGCCCCGGGGAGTGCCCACTGCAAGTCCTGCAGCGGGAGGGAGTGGGGCCCAGTGGTTAGAGCAGTGGGACTGGGAGTCAGGACTCCTGGGTTCCATTCCCAGCTTTGCCAGACTTATTGTGACCTTGGGCATGTCGGGGGGGTGGGGGGGGGCGCTGATCCTGCCCCATGTTTTGTAGCGCCCTCGGAGCCCCTCCAGCAGATGTGCGAGACCAAGGGGTGTCGATGCTGATGCCTCTGTCACCATCTCTCAGGTGCCCCCAGAATCCGTCCAGTCCCACGCAGGCAGGCAGCAGGATTTCTGCCCCACAGAGTGCCCTCGATGCCCGCTGCTGGCTGGGAGCACAAAGCCTTTCTGTGTGGCTTTAGCATCTCTCCAGTCCCCGGGGAAGCTGGCTGACCGAGCAGGTTGTCCCTGCCTGATTACGTCCCCCTCCGCCCTGCCCTAAGAGAAAACGAGCCGTCCATCCCCATACACCCCCTCTGTCCATCCTGATGCATCTCCTCCTGTCTGACTGTCTTCCCATACAGCTTCACCTATCCATCCCCATGCAGTCTCTCCATCTATATGCCTACCCCCACCTGTCTGTCCATCCCCATGCACCGCATCTGTCTACCCATCTATACCTATAACCCTATCTATCTGTCCATCCATCTCCACACACCATCATCTGTCTGTCTGTCCATCCACTCCTGTGCACTCCCG